AAAGTTTTATAAAACAAATAAGTTATTAGAAATAACCATATTAATGACTGACATGATAATAAATATGAATTTATAGAAACGTGCAATTATAGTTTTGTTGCTTTAGTTATCTGTAGTTTCCAATCATAAATGATTACATTTAAATGAAATCAAATTCAAATACACTACAAATTATGACCAAAAATGAAACCTAATGTGAGAACCAATTTGTGTGAAAAAGTTAACATATTTTATGAGTCATTGTTTCACTGGTTTTAACACTAAACGCTCGATAATAATAAATTTAATTAAGTAATTGTTTGCAATATTACTCAAAATTAAATCAATTTAATTAAAATTTCCAAAACATAAAATTATTTTACATTCACAAAAATGAATAACACAATAAATAAATATTGAATAATTTAATTCACAAAAAAACCATATCTACAGTATAGTAATTATTTGTTAAAATAAAATTTCATACCATACCCAGGAACAACCACATACCGTAGAGGTTTGTCTGGTATTGTTATACTGTATTTTGATTATAAGTTAACAAAATATGTTCATTTTCAAAGTGTTTCCGAAGTGCAATATTTTCTTCATATCTTTTGCCACACCCCTTATAATCGCATTTAAAGGGCAACTCAATTGAATGCTTACAATGATTATGTGAATTGAGTGCAAAATGAGATTTAAAGCCTTTAAGGCATTTATTGCATTTGAATGCCATTGACTGCCATGTAGTACCCCCTAAATGGACAGCCTTCGCGTGTTGCTCTAAATCGACACTTTGTTTAAAACATTTGACACATTTATCACATTTGAATGGTCTATCGCTTGACACCACCGTTGACTCCGAAGTCGGATCAATAGGAGTGGACGGGCTGTTTGTTTAGGAAAACTAAGTTAAATAATATTCATATGTATGAATCATATAAATAATCTGTGAGCACCTGTAGGGCCTGTCGTCCAATGATTTATCCTGGTCATTAGCTTTCAATGTCTGATGTGAACTAACGTCTCGTTTGTGTAAATATAAAAGTGTTTCACTAATAAACAGTTTACCGCATCTATTATAATCGCATCCATAAGGATTGGTAGCCGAATGGACGGTCAGGTTATGTAGCTTTAGGTTCGAGGCTGTCATAAAATCTGTGTTACATTTGTCACAATTGAATGGCTTTCCACTGGGAGTGAGCTCTACATCACTGCCAGAATCGGACGAACTGTTTGTTTGCGGAGAGAATTGTTACAAAACTTATGAAAACAATTGAATGAATAAAACAAATACTCGTCGGAAGTGTCCACTTGTATTGAGTCATCAATTAATGCCGGAATGCTTGCGACAGGACTGGCGATTGGATTGTCTACCGGTGCTGATTGCCGAACAGTAGGTATAGTATTTAACGGCATCGGAAGGTCATTAACGGGTGCTGTACGGATTTGACAGCAGCATATCATTAACACACGTGTTGACCAACAAGTCGGTAATATGAGTGCTTAAGGGCTGCACTACTGAGGCCGGGAGGTCAGTCATCTCCGAAAGTCGTTCATCTAATGTCTGCAATTATTGGACAGCAGCATATCATTAACACACGTGTTGATCAACAAGTCGGTAATATGAGTGCTTAAGGGCTGCACTACTGAGGCCGGGAGGTCAGTCATCTCCGAAAGTCGTTCATCTAATATCTGCAATGGTTTACAATTAACTGTGGTGTCCGGGTCTGGATGTGTACTCTCAGGCAACAGTATGTCATCAACATTGCTATCTATGATCACATCATTGCTATTTATGTAATAAAAATTTAATTCGTGTTTTTGACATAAGTTCAGGAATTTAGGCGCTTTTAAGCGGAACGGGAGGGCCGGTCGTAATCGGCTGTATTGGGTCTATCAGTGGTGGCCAAAGCATAAGTACGTCCTTCATTACTTACTTCCGAAATTTTCGTATACCTACCCTTACGGTAAGTTTTATAATGGGAGTTATTAATCTGTAACTAATTCGTATATTCGTTTGTATGGTCACGTTTATTCGTTATTAAAAGTTTAATCAAAAAAATAGTATTACATAACAAATTAATTTTAATTTAAATAAAAATAATGTAATTAATAGGAAACAGATCAATTTATTAATGAAATTATAAAAGCAAATGCAATGTAAACGCAATGATTTGCCGTATAATAAGTTAAATTAAGGCTTTTAGCGTCAATTAAAACAATTAAACTAAATCACAAACAACACAAACATATACTGTATTATAAAGTGACTTAAATTCAAATACAATTATTACAGTACATCAGTGGACATCATTTACCTCCCGATCCCCAATCGATTGGTCGAACTACCATCGCGGTCATCAGTGGGCACCGGTAGCTCATCGGCAATGCCATGTCGTCTCCATTCATGTGCTCTCAACTTCCAGCGATTGTCGTAATATTTGTCGCATTTAACACATTTGTACCTCTTATATGAATGCCTATTGTTTCATAAAACAAGTATTAAATTAATCCCACAATTAATCCAATCTATTGTCAAACAAATACCGGTTGTCATCCACTTCTTGATGGTAACGACTCTTATGTTTCTCGAGCTTTCGTTTTGTAGCAAACTTTTCGCGACAACCCTTACCATCGCATTCGTACTTACTGTCCATTGAGTGGACAGTAATCTGGTGGTCAGTTCTCATAACCTTTACGGCAAACCTCTCACTACAGTCCTTATAATCGCAAACATAGGGATAGGGAACGGCGTGTACTTTAAGCTTATGAACTAAATCATCATTAAGTGACTACTTTCACGCCTGTGTTGCAGACAGTAGCGTAAGTTTGCCTATTATGCAATATACTAACAGCGCATACACAGCTATATTTACCCAAAGCGTGAATTTCCGAAGCCCACACGTGTCGTAATCGCAACAAAATGGTAGGGCTCTCATGTGGTCAGCCTTTATGTGGTATTTTAGGGCCGACCGGTGTGCAAACCAATTCCCGCAACCGGTATACTCGCACTGGTAGGGGATGTGCTCTAAGTGTTGGCTGCGTCTATGTCTCACGTAATCAAACGAGCGCTCAAACCGTTTGCCGCAGTCTTGTTGACCGCAAACGTATGGCTCGAGTATCTTATGTGCGATAAATTTGTGTTCATTTAATCGCAATCTGTTGTCAAACTGTTTGTCACAATTGTTTACATCGCAGTCAAAGCTAGCCATAAGTTTATCGCAATCTCTATACTCTATATCAGACCACTCGCCACCACTCAAGGAACGCCTACTGACCGGCGAAGCACTCGTGGTATCACTCACTGGTGGTATAACTGGTGATGGACTCCTAGTATTTGTCACTAAACGACTGGACATATAATTCAGTAAACCGTCGAATGACTCCAATTCTGGTCTGTCGTCATCGGAATCGGAACACAGATAGCCGTCAGACCGCATATACCCAGAGTAGGCAATAGGTCTCCGTTTTCTGAGTTAAAATTTAAATAACAAATTAATTTAGTTATAAATCAAACTTTAAATGACTTTAAAACACATACTCTTTGTTAGGCTTAGCTTTTGGTGGACTTTTTTTATCAATTGAAGTACTGGGCGATGGATTCCTGTCCATTGAATGGTCAGGCATTACATCACTACTGCTTGAAATGAGTGACAATGACTGGTCAGTCACTTCTTGATCACTATCATGAGGTGCTGTTGTCGTCGATTGTATGTCTGTATGTGTTGTGGGGTTGAGTTGAGTATTAATAGCAATCACTGCTTGATTAACATTTGTGTCACTATTTTATTTAAAAAATACAATTTTAAATCAATAAATACCGGCATATACTGTATACTGTACAGTACAGTGTACAGTACTGTAGAATTAATGTCTATTTAATACCTGAGATTAATAAGACTTGTCTCTAGATCCGAACTTCACCTGCCTTCCCCTTCCGGAAGTCGATAGTAGACGACTTCAGACAGTAGGTCACTACCGTTGCTAAACAGGCTATATAGCCATTATAAACTACTCTAAAGTGTAAATGTTTGACTATTTATTTGATAAACAAATTAAGTATAAGTTCAGCATAAATATCACTAAATGTTTTTTAAAACATACTTAATGTCTGTATTGACAACTGATGTGTTGGATATGCTTGAGATTGTAGAAAATGACTGATCAAACACATTACAATCCCCTTGACTTGAAGTGGATGGTAGGGGAATGTCTTCAACTACCATCTGTTCAACTCTACCATCGACTGCTATCACCGATAGATTGTCAGTTGATTTAGTATTATCTGTAGTAGTGTTCAATTCAGTGGCAATCACTTCTTGAGGAGCATTTGAATCACTATTTTTTAAACACAAAATTAAATTTTAATTTAATTCATATCTAAACTAAACGTCAAAATACTTGTTGCAAGTGTTGGCCATTAAATCGGCGGTCAGTGGCTGACTAGTGCCCACTATTGGCAACGATGTCTCAATTGGTGTACGTTCTGTACCACTGATCGCATCGCAATCGACATCCATATTATCGTTGGTATAGCAGATATCGTTACCGCCATCAGTGGTATTTGAGACCCTGGCCTCTGGACGGCTTAACATTCTTTTCAATAGTCTGGGATCTCTTACTACAGACAACACACTATCGTAAGCCACGGCTATGTCAGAATTGGACCGGCTGTTCGTTTACAAATAAAAATAATTTCAGTTATTAAATGAAATCAATTGAATTAATAAAACAAATACTTTTGAGAAGTGTTGGCCTTTGAGGCGCTGTCGGCGCTATGATTACATTTAGACTGTATTTCCGCTGAATGTTCAGTGATTTGGTGTTTCTTAAGAAAATGCTTTCCTTTGAAACTTCTGCCGCAACCACTGTATCGACACTTAAACACATAGTGAACACAGTTTTTGTGATTATTTAAGTGTACGTATGAATCAAACTTTATGCCACACTTCTCGTAGTCACAGATATAATAAGCGCGACCAGTGTTTAGATTACTATTTTGGACACAAAAAATATGCATAAAATTACCGGTAATAATAAAATATTGTATGCCTTTAAAAGTAAATACATTATTTTATTCGTGACATCAGTTGCCAGTGTGTTAGCTTCTGGAGGACTAGTTATCTGTTTATCTGGATTATCAACTGATGGACAATGACTATCAGACACAGAGTGGTCTATAATAGAGTGGTCGGGGTTTTCACCACTAATTGTATGAAAAAATTAAATCATTAATAAATTACTATAATATTGTAGACAACAAGTAAATCATAAATCACATACTTATCTGCACTGGTATTCGTCCCCAACATGTTGGACACCCGTTGCAGTAGATTATCATATCTCTGACATAACTGTTTGGTTTCGTCGGACACGTCACTCGACTGATCCGAGTCGTCGTCATCGCTCAAGACATCGCTATTAGTTAACCAAAAAATATTAAATCAATTAATGGGTAAAAGGTTTTCACAATAAACACATACTTATCGGAACTTCTGGCTACTGATGAAAAGCTGTCGGCGCCAGACACACAAACGGGTGACTCCGGAACGTCATCCATAGATTCGTCAATCGCTATATTGATTGGACTCTCATTTTTAATGCTATTGTTTGAACCATTAGCAAGGTCATCAGCATTTAAAACATTTCTATTTTCAACAGGAATTCTGTTTTGAAAAATAAACTCGATGTTAATGACAATAAATTACAAAAACATATACCAGTAGTAAACGACACATACAAATCAGGAATAGTAGCGACGGGAGGGATTGGGAGGTAAATCACTTCCGATTTGGGCACACAATTGTTTTGAGTATTATGTGTAGTGTCAGGCACTGGTGTTTCAATTATTTGTTTGGTAGGCTTTGTATCATTATTGTCAACCACTTCAGGCGCGGGTATGTCTATGTTAATGATCTCAATGTCATCGATATTTGAATCGCTGTTTTGTAAACAAAACCATTAAAATTATACAAAATTAACTGATAATTAAATCCTTATTTTTGTTTTATGAACAACTTTCACAACGGTTAACTAAACCACCGGCTTCCCAACAATCCGGGGCCCTCCTGTCGATACTAAAGCTATAGTCTCAGTGATATGTTTAACAACAAAAATTAAAAATTATTACCGGTACTTTTACAAACGATTAGCAATTGTTAGTTTCAGACATACCTATCGGAACTACAGGTGATAGTATCCATTAAATGAGTTGCCGGAACCGGTAGTTCTTTGCTTTCCCTTAATTTTATACGTTTCGGTGAACTTTGTACAGTAGTAGGCGAGTGATTAGCATTTCGTTTCCCGCAAACACTAGTATTTTCGGGAACAGTAGTCGATGTTTCGTTGAGCACAGGTATACAAGCAGTTAATGGTGTGGTTCTGTGTAAAATAGAAAATATTAAATTTAAAGATTTTGTAAAATCAAATATTTTGTGTATGAATACTTGCCATACCTACACCCTTTACCGCTCGCGGCCGACAAATAGGCCGTAAACCTTACATAAACTTACTGATCGCAAACGATCGCTATTTTAATCGCAAAATAATTAATTTCTAAATACAATTAAATTTCTATAGATTGCAAACCATTGAGACTTACTTTTGGCGTGAATTAGTGACTGAATTATTGTGAGCCCCGGTAGGCAAGCCTAACCTCTTACGTAGCCTCGGGTCTCGTAGATCTGTTGTCCCAGTAGTCGGCACTGGAGTATTGGAAGACCTGTTTTGAGGGTATAAAAGCATTAAGCAATACATTGCAACAAAAAACAACTAATTATGTGAAAAATAAATACGTTTGAGAAGTGTTTGCATTTGAATGGCTATCGGCGCTGAAGTAGGAATACCGCCGTTTAGTGAACAACGAATGGCTACTATTTTTGTGTAGACAAAGATCTACTTCATAAGCAAATACTTGTTGACAATCGGGATAATCACACGGAAACGGCTTATGAATGTCTATGAGAACAACTAACTCAAAGAATAACAAAAATTTCGAAAATACCGTTGGTGACTTGTGTGTTAATTTGCCAAGTGATCATTAGTTTACTAGCGCAAAACACACGGATAACTCGTTTATAAAAAGCGATTTATTTTTTCCACAATTACGGTAATCACAGACATAGCCAGACGTGAGGTCAGCATTTATTGAACTATTTTATGGCAAAATATATGTAGAAATCAATTAATTATAAAAATTAATGCAAAACACAATTACTTGTCATTTGTATCGATTTGTGTGGAGTTATCGATAGGAGTTGCAGTGTTTGGCACTGGAGTCTCAGTAATAGGCTCATCCCTAACGCTCAGTGCTTGAAGTAGTCTGTCCGCTAATGGAGTAATAGTGGACACGTCGGGCACCGGGAGGTTGACTCCAATGGCATGTCTTCTTTGTTTATGTGAATCCAATCGTTGTTGAGATGAAAATCTTTTGTCGCATTCATTGTAATCACATTTGAATGTATTGTTTGTGACAAACGACTCGAGAATCGCTTCATAAGTGAGTGTTTCACTGATTTTCATACAAATATTGTTAACATTTTCACACAATTTATGACAAAATTGAGTACAAATTCAATGCAAACCTCTCATCACTGGCCGACACAACACCCGACGCCTCAGACATCGCTTCCGACGGCAGACAAACACATGACACGATTGACGGATAAACTAATTGTATATAAAATCAAATTAAATTAAGATTTGAATAAAAAATTATTCATTTTTCACACAATTTGTTGAATTGTTTTGGTTTTTATATTTGAATTTGAAATAAAAAGTGACTCAATATTAACATCAATAACGCATAACATTAGTAATTGAGTTGTGAACTCCCTTTGAAGTCTATGCCATAGTATAACTATAGCAACATTATAAGTCCCTCCAGTTATTTACATGTCATTATTACTGTTATTAGAATAAAGTAAAAGTTTTGGTACCTTTTATAATAACTCAATTATGTACATCAGTGTCTATTCATGTACTCATTAAACATACGACTTATATGATTTCTAATAAACGTGAAAAATACAAAAACTATCGCTTTTATATACACAATATTTTTTACCCAATTTATTATAATTATTAATTAAAATAAAGTTAAAATAGTATATTGAAAATTGTTGTATAATTTAGAAATTAAATTATTATAGAGCACATACTATTTAATTAACACATAAATATTTTATATTTATTTATTTTACTATTTTAAAAAAGTTTATTTACTGTATAATACAGTCTATACAGTCTGTATTACTGTAAATACAGTATGAGTTCATATAAAACATACCAAATATTATGTGACATATGAAACCCTTTTCACAACAATTATGCAATACTACTGTACTTACAAACCCTTCCCAACCCTATGAACCCATTTATGGCATGATATGTAATATATTAATAATATTTAGCATAAAAGTGTAATCCGTTTCCGGAAAGCCGTCTTTGATTCAAAATACGCATCCGTTTCATGTGATTAGCCATCGATTTATCATTTGTTTTGTCCATTGGTTAGCAAATTGTGTGACATTTGAATTGTTTGAGTGAATCAACGAAACAAAGTTGTCATCAATGGCTGAACCTATGGCTCGCACTGATTGGGACAGGTATGAAATATTTGATGCATACATTTGTGTGTGAAATGACATTTATGTTAATTGTATTCATTTTGATGAATAGGTTTTGCCAACTAATAGGTTTCAATGGTTTGAAGTCGAGGTTTGTGTCATATTTTGTGTCCATTTGTGTGGCAATACATGTGATAATCACTTGTATTGATAGTGTGCGCCAAGAATTGGACCAAAACGCAAATGGTTTGAGTGAAGAGTTGTCGGCTTTGAAGGCATCGAAAGATATGATTGAGACGGAAGTGAAGGCAATGAGGGATCAGATAAAAGACAGCAAACATATGAGAGTAAAGGATGTGAAACATGTGAGACAAGGGTTGGTGTTATTGAAGGCGTTAAACGAGACAATCATTTGTGAGAACAAAGAGTTCACTCAAGGGTTGGTGTCTTTGAACATAAGATTTAAAACTGATTTCACTGATTATTATCTAATAATTGAATTGTTTGTTTGATTTGATGGATTCAACAGTTGCGCGGACTCTGAGTCTAATTCAAATGGAAATGAAACACAGAATGACTGCGAAGGACAGGACTTCAGGGATGAGTTGAATGCCATTAAGATTAGTGTCGAAAGGGTTGCAATGAATGCGTCAACGGATGAAGTGGTGAATGAGAGCACCGGAAGTGGCGATGAAGTGGTTAACCCATAGACAGTGCATCTATGGGATGGAAAACATGAATATTTTGGCACATCTGCAGAATACAGTTTAATCCCAATACTAATGCCAGTGCAGTATAACCTATTATACAGTGCTCTCTGTGTTGTGTAACTGTCCTGTGGTTGGCTATGAACCACTGGACCAGACCCTAATGGGCTGTCGCACAACCCTTACCCCTAGCAGTCTGTATAAGGACTGACTTTGCCTTCAATCGGGGCTTATCTCTAGTGACTACTCGTACTGTACGTACTGTACGTACGAGTCTGTGGCCGTGCATCAAATACCACGGTATGGTATGACTTATTGGAGGCATACCTGTTGTCATATTTTGATGACAAATATAATTACTTTTTCATTCATATAATCATTATTAAAACTGAATCGAAATAATTATCTAAATTAGTATATAATCATTGTTTTTCTAATACCTATGTAAACATGTGTAACGAATAGTAAATTGTGTACATTTTGTGTTTAATTACCGTAAAAAAAGTTTATTGAGTAACAATATTCGAGTTTTATCAAGGTATTCTTACCGGTATATTACAAACAAAATTGATAAACATTTGTTTAATATAATTGATTTATTAGTTTTAGAAACAATATGTGACATGCAATATAAGTTGCTGTATTTATTTTATGATTTATCAGTGGTTTTGGTCATAAAATATGCTAAATATACACATTTCATGGGTTTATTTATAACCAATAAAAAGGATATTTGTTGAGACATAAGATATTCATTTTGTGGCATCTGTTAAACATTAACCAAAATGTCAAGTATTTGTCGCTTACTTATGTTCAGTTATATTGTATTAATACTGGTTAAAAGCATCACAAAATTATTTTTAGAAAATGTAATTTAGAAAAATGTTTCAATTATTAAATCTTATGCTGTATAATAAATTGTACGAAAATGTTATTTCAAATGTATTGTGAATTTGAAAAATTGTGCCAATTTCGGCACTTGTGTCAGAGTTTTGACAAAATTAAGTGTTATTTGTCACAAAATGCTAATGTTTTGTGTGAACGGATTGAATGCGAAAATGCAGTCAATTTGTCAATGGATTGCAATGAAAATCTTTTGTCGCATTCATTGTAATCACATTTGAATGAATTGTTTGTGACAAACGTCTCGACAATCGCTTCATAAGTGAGTGTTTCACTGATTTTCACACAATTTATGCCAAAATTGAGTACAAATTGAATGCAAACCTCTCATCACTGGCCGATACGACGCCCAACGCCTCAGACATATCTGCCCTCTGGTCTCATACCACACAATATCTATGAAACAAATAATTGACAATTAAATCACAAAAATATATAAATTATTGTTTTATTTAAATTTCAAATTTAGTCACAAATTGTTTGTCTAATGGAAAGACATGTGATTCACGTGACACACAAACAACGTCCACAATGTTTACTCCCATTCAAAGTAAAATTATTTGAAAATCTATTGCACACTAATATAACTTATTATTGAATTACTAATTAATTATTAATAATGGCAAAATTTATTGTGACTACGTATACAAAAATTTTTAATAACACAATGAATAAGAAAATGTTAAGAAATAGTTTATATTAAAAGATTCATTTAAGTAATCACTGTAACATATATTATAAATCATTTTTTTAATTACCGGTAAATCAAATTTAAATTTAGAAAACACGTATTTAGATACAATAATCACGGGATACAGTACAGTACAATGCAACAGGGTATGAATTACAAATAGAAATCATTAAGAATTCAATTAAAAGGATATCAATTTTAAACATTTGTTCAAAAAGTTATTAAGCATTAGAGTATTATAACTACCGGTAATTATGATTCAGGCATGACCTGGGTGTTTAACCTTTTTATGGGCCAACAAACCTTCGACGGACTTAAGCACTCGGCCACAGATATTACACTGTTTTGCGTCTATGACCACCACTTTGTGAACAAGTTTTAGGTGTCCCTCCATAGCGCCCGAGCTAATGAACTTTTTGCCGCATTTCGCACATTTGAATCGTAATGTACCCGAAATGTGAATACTTTTGTCGTGTATTTGCAGCTCCACTTCCTTCGCGAACCGTTTGCCACACTTCCCGCATGTGAACGGATCGGCGTTATGAACAACGATCTTATGATTGATGAGCGCCTGTAGCTCTTTGAACCCAGCCCGGCATTCGTCGCATTTGTTTGGCAAGAGTTCGGCCGATGTATTGGCCATTGTCTCCACTACTGGATTAGCCAATAGTTGTGGAGTTGTGTAGTTATGGACAGTTAGCTTATGAAGATTGCATTCAAACACCGTTTTGAACACTTGCCCACAACGGGCGTACTCGCACTCAACAGCCCTAACCATTGGCGGCGGACTCTCACTATGCATCTCATTCTTGTGATCACTCAGTTGTAACAGTGAGTTAAACGCCTGTCCACAGCCAGGGTAACGGCACGTATACCGCAGCCGGTGGGCCATCAGGCTATGGGTCTTAACCTGTAATACCTGTAATTCCGTTTCAAACACTTCGTGACAGCCTTTCTTTTTGCAGTCATATTGCAGTTTATGGTCCATTCGTTTGGGAGGTATGTGTGGAGTGAAAGAGTCGTAATGAATGGCAGCCTTATGGAGATGGAGATCAAAGGCTGACTTGAATACCTGTTCGCACCCATTGATATCGCATTTAAATCCCGGAGCTGGTGGCGGATCAGTACACACAGTGCTTTGCATTGGCTGAGGGTGTGTGTCTTTGTGAGCAATAAACTCCGATTTGTGGTCAAACATCTGTCCACAGCCTATAAAACCGCACACAAAGCTGGTCACCTGCGAGTGGACAGTCGTGTTATGGGTCTTGAGTTGTAATTCGGTGGCAAACACTTCGTGGCAGCCTTTGCTTTTGCAGTTGTATTGCAGTTTATGGTCGAGAAGTTTGTGTAACGATAAGATCTCGACAGGAAAACGCTTATCACAATCGGGGTAATGGCACAGGTATGTCATGGTTTGGTCAGAGGTATTGTGGGTTGAGATGAGCGTATGGACAGTATATCTGTGATATTGAAGGGCTGACTCGTTGGCAAAGAATTGGTTACAAGTGTCGCAAATGATCGGTAATTTATGGGCCCACATGTTGTGCTTATGTAACGCA